TTTCCGGTATTAAAAAAGAAAGGGGGGGGGGGGGGTGCTTCTTGATATCAGAGGCTGACGAGAAACGACAGCTCGGGAAAGGGGAAGGTCGTTACGGCTGACGAACCGCGACTCAAGCGCGGCTGCGGAGGATTTCCCTGCACTCCACGAGGCGTTTCGTGAGCGTGGCGTCTTTGGCCCCCCTCCCACTGGGATCGGTTGACAGGAGGAGCCTCATCGCGGGCTGCAGAGACAAACAAGACGACGAGGGGAGGGGGGGGGAGAGAACCAATGAGGCCTGAACTGGGCGAGGAAAATACGAAAAAACGCATGTTCGAAAGCTAACCTTGCGACATACAAGACACGCTTTCTCACCCGACCTGAAAAATTATACATAAAAACACAAGGACAGCAGGCAGTCAGTCATTCTGTTTGCCTTTCTGACCAGACGTCAAAAGTAGACCCGAGCGCAGTCAGCTGTTTTTTGCCTTGCTTCTTTCCTTCCTTCCTTCTCTCACCATATCCCTCACGACGTGACTCTCGGCCAGCCCCACAAGGGCGCGCATGCACTCCCGACGCATCCCAATCTCCTCCTCACTCTTCCTGGCCGCGCTCCCGTCATCGCGACCCATGGACAGCACCACAAGCGACTCTACCAACCGGCGCTGCTGGGCGTGGAGGTCGTCCGCCGAGGCGGCCCTGCCGCGGAACCCCCCACCCCCCGCCGGGGGGTCGGAGGCAAGGAGCGCCGCGCGGAGCTGGGGGGTCTTCGTGAGGTTCGCCACGGCCACGGCCGCCTGCCTGCGGGCGGGCCTGTGGCGGGTTTCCACTAGGAGGCGGGCGGCGGCATGGGCGAGGGCGTTGGCGGCGTTGGCGGCCGCGGCGCTCGACAGCTGGTCCACGAGCTTGCCTGTGTGGAGGGAAACGGCAGAGAGGGGGGTAGTCAGCCTTACACAGCGGTACACGTATGAACGACGCGAACAACGAGCGTGTGTGTGGTAGGAGCGTGCGCCATCCACCAACGCGAGCAAAACATGCACACCAGAAGCCAGTAAAAAAAAAAAAAACTTCCTGACAAAAATGATCTTCTCTCCTCACCATCCGTGGTGAGGCCAGCGACAGCCGCAGCCGCGTCCGCCTGCACGTCCAGGTAGCTGCCGGAGAGCATGCCCGCCAGAAGCACGACGTCGTCCATCATGTCCGAGTCCAGCTCGGGGGAGGAGGAGGAAGAGGCCAGGGGGCTGGCCATGCTGGCCGGCACGGGGAGAGGAGAACCCCCGGTCTTGATGGCCTCTCCGCGCTCCGCGAGGAGACGGATGCTGTTGCGAGATGGCGCCATGTTAACCTGTTCGAGGGCTAGGCCTTCTCCGGTGGCCGGGTAGGTGCGGGGCTTGTAGCGGAACGTTCCCGCCAGGTTGACGCCTTCCTGGTTCTGCGGGGGTGGGGGGGGTGGGTGGGGGGGGGCGTCATGCTTAGTCCACGTCCCAATCATGAATATCATCGTTTGTTCAACATGACAGTGCAGTATTGACACACCTCCCAGGAATGCAAGACATGCCACCAACCAAAGCCTACGGAAAGCAGACAGAACTTTGCATCTTGTTCGGAGGAAAGCGAGACAAGAATGAGGCTTGGACGAAGAACAAAAAAAAAGTTCGACGCCGCACCATGAAAGCACGCATGATCTCCCGGAAAAGGGCTGAGAAGTGCAGCCGGTCTCCTTCGCGGAGCTGCGCCTCCACCAGGAAGGGCGTCTGCTCGTCGCCGTCACTGTTGTTGTTGCCCATGCTGCTGTTGTCGAAGAGCTGGCCGGAGGCGCGGTTGGGGGCCTTGAACACCCTGACGAACAGGCTGAGGAAACGGTTGCCCACGTGGTAGGAGCACTCCAGCTTTTGGGTGGCGTTGTTTGTTGTTGAGGTGGATTGTTCGAAGGACGAAGCAGGAAGGCGGGGGTGTGAGCGTGGGAAAATCTGCGATGGATTTACACGCTTCAAAAGCAGATGCCTTTCTGTAAGCAGACAAGTGTCTCTCTCGCAACGCCTGTTAGTAGAAACCAGGTGGCGCTCTGCCGCTGTATCCCGAAAACAAGAAAACAGAAGTGCAAACCGCGGCCAAGACGAGAAACACAAAAAACAAACAAATCCAATTCTGCACAAACCAACACCATGCAGCAAAAATGGAACATAAGCCACGTTCGATCAGCTGCTGTACTGTCGAACAGCGTCCACGCAGCAGCAGCTGCAGTACCACTCACCACGCAGTGAGCAGGCTTCAAGTCGAGGACGTCCACACCCGCATCGGCCAGAGCAGCCCGGAGGGCGTCTAGGAGCGAGTCGACGGAGAGCGACCGCTCCGTTACGGGAGCAGTGACCACTAAGTTTGTCCGCTCAAGCCGGAAGGTGCTGGGCAGGGTGGCGACGCAAGGGGTGTCCGAGTCTTCGAGCTCGCCGTCTACAGATGGCCGGGTGGGGCGGGGGGAGAGAGAGCACACAAACGGAAAAACACACACACACACACACAAAGCACCAGGTTGGAACGTCGACGTGTTAGTGAAGAGCATCCCGCTCTCTCTCTCTCTCTCTCTCTTTTCAACTGTCGAGTCGGCGTGTCGGCGTGTCGGCGTTCTCGTCGCTGCTCTTGTTGGGAGAGAGAGCGAACCCCCAGACGAGCCAGATTGGCGAGCGCACGCCTCTGATGTTGTGCTATACCGTCCCCCTCCCCCCCCCACAGGACGACAACCCTCATTTCCTTCCCTTCATCTCACCATTGGAAGACGATCCTGATTTGGGGGCGTTGCCAGCGATGCCGAAGGGTGCGAAGTAGCGCGGCGGCGACGCGAATCCCTGGAAGATGTACTGGTCGCTCGCGAAAGGATTGAAGTTGCCGGGTGGGGCGACTCCTCTCCCACCATCGTTTCCCGACTTGGAGGGGTGCACATACATGTGCTGGGCATCTCCTCTGTGAGTCTGCACATCGTCGTAAGCACTGGGATGCTTGATGCTGGGCGCCAGGCGCGAGACCTCGGAGCTGTATGCGCCCGCCCAAAGCCCCACCGACTCGCCTGGGACATTTTTTGTCGAATGACCGACGAGTTAATTTCGGCAATGCACGCGGGGGGGGGGTTGGGGGGGCGACAGAGACGAATGCGGCGAGCAGAAGCCGGCACGGGGGGGGGGGGATATGTAAAGAAAAAAGCCGAACAAAATCAACAAAACACTTGATCAGAGAACGCTACGGATGGCATCCTCGCCCCTACGTACGTACGTGGTCTTCATTCATCTCTTCCATGTTGTAGCTCACCGGATGTCTCGCTGTCGAAGCCAGGGGCACCCGTCGGGCTCGCTCCTAGGCCGGCGCTAGGCCTGGCCGCGAAGTGCGCCTGCATCGGCAGGTTGGCCGCAACTACTCCGCCACCTGCTTTATTTGTACAACCAAAACACGAAACGGCGAGTACACATTGTATTCTTAGAGACGGCGACTACAACAACAACACGCGAAAAGAGCAACGGTGCGTGACGTTGAAAGATCCGCACGCGAAGTTCACAAAATGCATGATCATCCACTTCTTGCCAAGATACCCTTTACCCATTTGTGTACAGCGCGAGATTCGTGTACATTGGCCGCGTGTACTTGCTTGAAGTCTTCTCCACCGACGATCACGCTATACGACGTGTATAACTACCAACCTCTCATCCGCACGGGCTGTCACCACCACATCCCATCCCACACGTGAAAAGTGGAAATATCCGTGGAAATACCCGAATGTTGGTACCACCACCGTCACCATCACCGCACACTCAGCGCGTACACCCACGAACCCTTCCGCCTTCACACTGCCACCTGCCTGGATTATCCGGTATGTCCAATAACATGCCATCATGAAAAATATGTAGGCCAGGTTACAAGGTCAGGAACACGACATGATACCGATGAAAAGTACAAGCAAGCTGCTGCTGGTGGTTTGAAGCCATGTCTCCGTCTTAAGGACAGGAAAGGAGATCCACCTTATCATACAAAAATTAAAACTAATGTAAATCTGTGCGCAGGGAGGGCGCTCAGTCAACTTCCCTTCCTCCTGGCAAGAAAAAACACACACGCCCGGCGTATAGCGGAAACAAAGGGATTGCTTCATTGCTTACTGCTGTTGTTGCGGGGCTCTCGTTCGGGAAAACAATCAAAAATAATGCCGAAAAGACTTGCCCACCCCGCCCGCAAGGCGAAGGCCTGGTACACCAACACAACGCAGAGACTATTTCGTTGTGCAAAAAGCAAACTTTTGTATCGGCGCACCACCAGCAAGGCCAAGGGTAGATATCCATGCAAAGTGTGAAGAAAACTTAAAGTTCAACGTACCGAAAGGTTGAACGTTGTATGCATATCCATGGTATGAGCATCGGGAAGTCAGTCAGTAGTTACGAGAATACGGCTGCTGTGTATAGTGGGACAAGCGGCACCCAATTCATTTTTCGGGATCGATGGAACACCACAGAAAAAAAAGAGGAAAATACGAACACGATCGTCGTTCCCGTAAATGATCTTAAGAAAGTCTTCGGAAGCACCATGTACCAAAATAACTCTGCTGAAACACGTGGTTTGGTAGTGTCGTGGCGAACAAAAGTGGAGCGTGAGTCACACGCGTTTTGACCTGGAAGCAGGATTCGACTTTGTCGTCCGCGTTAAGCCCAATCATGATAGCAGCAGCAGGAGCATTTATTGGCAATACGCACGTCCCCTGCTCAACGGGTCTGTCCGTCCTTCAAAATTATTTTTTCAACTACGATCTATGGATAACGACGAGGAGCGTCATGCACTCAACTCCGGTATAGGCACAACTTCCGCAAAACTAAACATTTTTTCTGCAATGGACTCTCTTTTTCTGGGATCAACTCCGGCCGGGTCTAGAGACAAATGCCAGATGAGGGCAAGAGGCAAGAGAGGGGACTATGGCTTCACTACAGCAGTAGACAATCGACAAGCGTAAGAGAAAACCGACCTCAGATCAGCACTCCTCGGCTACCCTCGCCCTCCCCCCCTCGCCTGCAGGGCAGAAGGCAATCGCAAATGCATAGAATCCACCGGTTCCTTTCCCCATTCGCTTTCAACACAAAAGAGCGGCAAGTTGCGTGCCAACCCACACACGCACGAACGCACGGTGTTTTTTTTGGAACGCAGCCGACTTTCGGGAGGGCCGTATACTACCCTGAAGAACCCCTCGTGGGAGTATCGCTAACCACTGACAACCTCTGCACCACATGCTACTGGCCAGCCTATGCCCTCGGTCGCTCGGTGGTTTACCACGTGTTCTCTGCTGATTCCGTGTATGTCTGATCTCTCATCAAACCCTCGTACCTGATGGTGCTTCAGTCCTTCGGTACATCAGGCCGCTCCCGGAGGTAGCGCAAACCTCCTCATCGTAGTCGCTGTGCGCATCGCGGTCCGGGTTCCTTGAGTGTTCCGCCATCGCAACAATATCCCTCACCCGAAGCGCCCTGACTCACGAGATGTTCAAGTGCGATGCCGTTATGCTCCTCTTCGTGCGGTGCGGCTGGCTAGCAACAACACACCACGTTGTTTGGCTCCGAAAAAAAGAGCGCGGCAACAAAATGTGCTGCTGGGGTGGAGTGTGCTTTGGGCAGCAGGCTTCTGAAGCAGCAAGGATACGCGTGGCAATGAACGCCAATAAATGCGTGCTGGCACGGCAGTGGAGGATGGACCGCGGTCAGTCGAGGCCAGTTTGTCTAGAGCGCTGCCTTTAGCCCGTTCCACGAGAAGATAAACACATAAGAACCGGTCCCGGACCGGTCCCCCACAAAAGTAACCGCTCCTGACGCATCCAATATTTCCAAGTGTTTTTTATTAATGTTTTCTCAATTTTTGTCGATCTCGAAAAAATTGCAATCTTGGAAAATACGATTCTTGTTGCGATATCGGGTCTGCCGCCATCGGGATCGGGCAATCCTGGTTATTTCATCGTTCGGCGCACCGGCGCCAGGAAGGACACTAGGAAGCGCGGTCATCTTGCCGTGTAATCCCGTGACCGACCGCGAGAGCTCGAGAACAAACTTTCACTCCTGGTCGGAGGAAAGGGGCATGCAACGGACCGCGTGGACGGGCGGTGTGTTGTCGGCAAATTAACAAAACGTTCATGCCAAACCAAGAGGATTATTCTTTGGGTCCGGAACGCCTGAATCCTGGTGGTGCCTTTGGTGATGATGAACAGACAGATAGTTATCTTGCACCCGACCACCCGACAGCCCATGAGAGAAGCCGGGAGAGCAGGCAGCTTCCCATGTATGTGTGTATATTTGAATTAATTGTGTTAACATGGTGACTCTTATAGGCTAGCTTGCTGATGGCCAACCGGGACGTGCATTATTGCTTCTTTTTTCTTTTTCTGTTGACCCTCTGTTTACTTCTTGCGGTGAGCGGGAACGGAGCGCGAGAGCGGTGCTGTATTTGTATGCATATGTGCAGCGCACCAAGACAGAGTAGTAGTAGTTGTAACAGCAGTCAGTGCGACGCTGTCGTTACTCTCTCAGAAAGGCCAGTCTGAGAGGCCTTGAGTCGGTCGTGTTTTGTTTATAGTCTACAAGGGCGATCGACGGCGACGATCGACGAAGGCGGCCCAAGGCCGCCCGATCGACCGACCGACCGACCGACCGACCCAACCCTCTACCCTACCCTACCCTACCCAAACCAAAACCCGACCCGACCCCACCCAACCCAACCCAATCCAATCCAACCCAATCCAAAACCCAACGGCGACGAACGACGAAGCGACGGCGGAGCGATCGACGGCGGCGACCCAACCCTGACCCAACCCTGACCCAACCCAACCCCAACCCAACCCAACCCAACTCGACCCCAACCCAACCCAACCCGACCCACCCCAATCCAACCCGACCCAAGCCAATTCAACCCAAAACCATAGACAGACACGGGGTCGGTCGGGTGAAGTTTCGTTTGGTTTTCAGAAGGCGAGGATGGTAGAGACAAGTTAAAACACTCCGCCACAAAAGACGTACCAAATAGAACACAGGTACTTTCTGACGCTATGAATTCGTTGCTTATCTGTCTCAGACTATAATAGAGATGGATTCGTTGTGTCATATTAAGAAAAAAAAAAAAAATTGACGCAGAGGAGCCGATCGACCACAAAGAAGTCCGCCGTACGGACCAGGCCGCCCGATCGACCGACCAACCGACCGACCGACCCTACTCTACCCTACCCTACCCAACCCACTACCCAACACAAAACAAAACACACAACCCAACCCAAACCCGACCGACCGACCGACCGACCCAACCCACACCCCAACCCAAAACATAACCTGACCAGCCGACCGACCAAACCCACGCTACCCCACCATATCCAACCCAACCCAACTGAACCCGAACGACCGATCGAGCGACCGACCCAGGCGACCGACCTATATAGTCTATTTTCCTAGCTTACGGTAGCTTCAGCCACGTACTCCAGGAGTATGAAACTCAGCTACACACGAGTATGAAACTCAGCTACACACAATAGTATATATTCACCCTACACATACATTCATTCATTCCTGACTTGCCGACACCCAGTACACACAGCAGCATCTTCATTCTGACGAAATCCTTCAATTGAGCCCAGAGCTACTCACAAATAAGTACAGGTGTCAGCTTAGACAACAGTGCATGTTATTCGATAAATAAATGGCGAAGAAACTACTGCATACTTTTTCACTACTACCTACCGTCTTGTTGCTGTCGCGGGCGCGTTTCCTACTATTACAAGGAAGAGTGATGTTGGTAGTAGACTACTGCACAGTCCGCGTAGTTTGCACCTACAGGCATGTGTTACAATGTACTTGTTGACTTTCTTCGATACAACCTGCCATCGGGTAGGAAGGGGGTGCTTTCCACTCTTTCATCATGCGGGTTGTTGCAAATGAGAGACACGACGCGGGTTCGGTTCCCAGCTGGCACACCCTTGTGGCACCATTTATTCTTTACCAACAGCACGACGAAGGGTCCGCCCCCCCCGGAGATCACTGTTCCAACCGGGAGGCCAAGAGCCCGAGCAAAATGTATGTCACGAATGATGGTGCACTGACTGACTGCTCTGTCTGGTGTCCGTCGGTGCATGGACGGTATGCCTTACCTTCCGAGACAACTATTTTTGTGCTAGAAGGAGTATTGTTTGTTCGAGTGAACTAATTGTGCTGTACTTGTTCTGAAAATATTAATATAGCATGTATGTACGGCTGTGATATATATGCGGCTGGGATGGATGATGCCTAGATTGTGGATGAGGTTGTGAGACACTCAACGCCGTGATTGATGAATGAAAGGCAGGCACCGTTAAGAACGCCCGCCACCGTTGGATTCTTCCCCATTCACTCGTTGTGTGAGTAGGTCGAACAGTTGCCTCTTATGATCCTCTGCGCTTCGTTGTTAGTTGGTGTCCTTCGTTGCCTGATCTCTGTGTGCTGTTGTTACTCACACCAACTGTAGTAAAGTCTACTTCGAAGTACAGTACAGTAGGTAAGCAGGAACCGGAGGATCGAGGTACCAACGATATTGTGTGAGGCAAACAACGAACGGTCGAGACCCTTTCCAGGGTGTACCCACTTACAGCAGTATATCCTGGCATGACTCACTGGCCATGCCATTTCCCGTGCACAACCTGAATCGATATATATATATATATATATGTATTTGTAGGGGGCCAAAAGGGGGCTCAAGATCAAGGCGCAGGTGTAGGCTGCTTTCGGGGATGTTCCATTTTCCATTTTCCTGAATGTTCCAAACACGAACTCAACGGCACTGGTAAATTGCAAGAGAAAGTCTACAATATATCATGCAAGCGCGCTAATACTTAGTCTAGCCAAACAATTTTTTTGGCATTTGGCTGGCTGAGCCTTTCGTGATGGGCCCGTGAGCAACGTCTTCCGCAGCCCTTTGGATCGCCAGTTTTTGCTTCACGTTTACCTCGAACATATGGTATCATCATTGAACGCCGTGTGCATGCGAAGCTCTCCGCGTATAGGTTTTCGAATGAAACCCTGTGGCACATTGAAACTTCGTATGCATACAGGACCCATGAAACTCCCAGCAGCAAGCTCAGGCAGAGGCTCGTTTGAGACGTTTGCTGAAGGTGGGTATCGTAGTGTTGCGAAATGCTCTCCCAGGTGTAGTTAATATGCCCCAATGGCCACACTCCAGACTGCTGTGGGTGAGGGTTCCGGTTGGGCACCTCGAAAAATTGGCGCTAAATTTATCCAAGATATGGATCCTGATCGATAATTCGGGTGTCTCAGTTGTGTGTGATGGGAGCGTAGAGCAGCTCGGCCATGACGGGCCGTAAGGGTAGGTAAAGACGTGTAGACGTGTTGAAAAACGTGGTGTATTCATCGGGGGCGTGCTTGAGCTCGTCATTCCATCACGGCATCAAGTCACGCATGACGCTTTAACACCCAGAACGAATCTCCATGAATCTCCACCAATCTACCACACTCCCAAGGAAAACACAAAGAAACTTCTTGTTCCTCCGTGGGGGGGAATCGGTGTCATCGTCAGATTCTTCTTCTTTACCATGTACTCGTCGCTTCCGGTGGCATCCGGGGCGATGGACGTGTCCAAAATGGGTCGAGTGGAAACGGCGGGGGTCAGGACGGAGACGGAGGCGCCCGGAGTCGGAGCAGGAGCAGAGGGAGAGGAAATAAGAAAGGAGGAGGTGAGAGAGGAGCCGACAACGACCACTGCTACCTACAAGTACATCATGCGCACTTGTTCCACACCAACGCCCAGTGCTACAGTCAGCGCTGACCAGTCAGATGGTCTAATTTTACCGTTTAGAGGATACCCGCACGAGTTCGAATACCGGCCCTATCACTTTTCTTCGGGCAAAATTACCACTGTAAGACAGCAACGTATGGCGAGGGGTACGCCCCGGAGATCCCTACTCTCGATCCCAGTGATTACGCCGCAAAAAGCCTCAAGCCCATGTGATCCGGCTAGGTGCTAAAAATCTCAGTGACCAGCTGGATGGCAACGAGCTCTGAGCATATCTTTTAATCGGTAAAATTAGACCATCCGTCAGCGCTGACTAGTCTGATGGTCTAATTTTACCGATTCCGTTCATCTCCGGAAACATCTCGGGGTGCTCTGCACGCGATACAAAGTGGTGAATGACGCCAAAATGCTCTGGTTGTCGCAGACCGCAGTTTTTAGTGGTCGGCAATACATGTAGCAACGCTCGTCGCTGGAACCATGGGGCGATTCTCGGCTTATTGTGCAAGCTGGCTCTCCAGAGCTGGGTCACGGTAGGTACGTAGTTTCGAGATATTGCACACCATTAGGAGGTTCAACGATGCCATGTCAATCTCTCGCAAATTGTGCTATTACGCGGACATCCCTACGAAGAGACCGACCAAAGAGAAACCTCAAATA